CAAAGGCTTGAACAATTTGGAGTTGTTATCAATCCAAAGAAATGTATTTTTGGTCCCTCTTCCATCGAGTTTTTAGGACATCGAATAACTGCCGAAGGCATCAGACCTACCCAAGATAAGATAAAGACTATTAAGAACTTTCCCGAACCTGATTCCTTAAAGAAACTTAAACGTTTTCTCGGGATGTTCAGCTTCTACCGACATTTGATTCCATCATGTGCCTCCATAGTTCAGCCACTTACCGACCTACTTAGATGCAATTCGAAGAAATTTCAGTGGTCTGAAGAAGCAAAAGCAGCATTTAATAATGCAAAAGATGCCTTATCCAACGTTGTAATGTTATCTCACATCAACCCAGAAGCTTCACTCATTTTATGTACAGATGCATCACAGGTAGCAGTGGGAGCAGTTTTACAACAAAAGTTCAATAATGACACCACTCCAGTTGCTTTCTTCTCCAAGAAATTGGAACCTGCGCAAACTCGTTACAGCACTTTTGGTAGAGAACTGTTAGCCATCTACCTAGCAGTTAAACATTTCAGCTTCCTACTACAAGGTCGACATTTTACTATCTTAACCGACCATAAACCTCTTTGTTATGCTTTCACCAATTCGTTGGACAGACACTCTCCGAGAGAAGCCGGATAACCGGATTACATCTCACAATTCTCAACAGACATCCAGTTCATCAAAGGAGATTCCAATATCGTAGCAGATTCTTTGTCTCGATGTGACGTTAATCACCTTCTATCTTCGATAGATATTAGCTTAGACAATATAGCTAAGCTGCAGAAAAATGACGCCGAACTCCATACTTGTAGACGAAACTCCTCCCTACAGTTGCAGGACGTACCTATTCTCCTGTCTGATACAACTATCGTCTGCGACGTTTCAACTGGCGTTCATAGACCTTTTGTTCCACTAAGTTGTCGAAAACTTTTGTTTGAACATCTACATTCCTTGTCTCATCCTGGTATACGTGCTACAGTCAAGTTGATCAGCGAGCGTTTCGTTTGGCCCAAGATGAACTCCGATATTCGGAAATGGGCCCGACAATGCTTGCAATGTCAAAGATCTAAGGTACATCATCATACCGTCACACCTCCAAAACAGTTCAATTTACCGGATAAACGATTCCAACACGTGCATATAGATATTATTAGACCATTACCGCCATCCAGAGGGTTTACTCATATACTTACTGCTATTGATCGATTTACCCGATGGGCTATTGCTTGTCCGCTCAACGACATATCCGCAGAAAATACCGCTTTGGTTTTCTTAGATCGTTGGGTGTCAAACTACGGAGTACCAGCAACTGTTACAACAGACCGAGGAGCTCAATTTCAATCAACTCTGTTTCGAGAGTTTACGAGACTCCTTGGAGTGAACCATATCTCCACTACAGCTTATCATCCTGCAGCGAATGGTCTGGTGGAACGCTTCCATCGACAACTGAAAAGCTCCCTAATGGCACAAGCTGACTCATCTAAGTGGAGTGAACACCTACCATTAGTTCTTCTCAGTATCCGATCAACTGTCAAAGAAGATTTGGGATGTACACCAGCTCAACTTGTGTATGGTACTACCCTCACATTGCCTGGTCAGTTAGTTCCGTCTAATGTTTCCACTGATGTAAATATCTCCGACTTCACCAACCGCCTTACCCAGGAGATGCTTCAGCTTCGACAAGTAGCCCCTCGCCAGTCACTTCAGAAAGCTCAAGTTAATAAGAATCTACTCACTTGCAAATTTGTATTTGTTCGCGTCAATACCATTAGAAAAGGTTTACAACATCCTTATGAAGGTCTCTTTCTAGTACTTAAGCGCACCGATAAATACTTCACGCTGAACAAACATGGTAAACCGGAGACTGCTTCTATTGATCGTCTTAAACCAGAGTACACCGACAGCGAATATGAAACACTAGCAACGCCTGCACCAATAAGCAAGGAGAAAGTCAATGCAACTCCAACTCTCCCGCTCTTCACACTTCCCCCAGTACAGACACGCAGTGGGCGGCAGATCTGTAAACCTGCCCGCTATGTTCTTTTCATTGACTGACATAAACGTTAACCTCATTTAGACATTCTTCTCATTACTGTTGTTGTCGACATTCATTTCATTATAACCATTAATATTTATTAGTATTATTGTTTGCTGTTCGTTAACTGTACTGCAAGCACACGCATTCACCAAGTTTATGTATATATCTATTTATATATGAATTTCACAAATGTTAGTGAACATATCATGGTTTATTATGTACATAAATTTTTTATTTAAAATTATAACAAGTTTTGATTTTTTTAAATTCCTGTATGTGGTTGTATGTGCTAAACTTTATACGACATGGATGCATTCCATACATCCTGATCTAATTTTGTATCCTTATTGTTGTTGTTATTTTTTGTTATCCTTATTGTTGACATTATCCATTATTTATATTGCTTATATTCATGTAATCGTCCACGAGGACAGTACTGATAGCCCTCCGAACGTCTAAGAGGGGGACCCGTGTGTAGTACTCAAAAATAAACTTATCCAATTTTTACTACTCTGTAAGAAATGAACATATTGTACACTACTTTGTTTTAACCATAAACTCTGTACTTTGAACTTTACCTCGGGTTTTGAATAAATATATAGTTCTGCCTTCGACTCTCCGTCTTCTCCACCATCTCAACTACCGTCGATCAATTATAACAACCTGCTTTCTATCTCAAATCTTTGCAGGAGCACCGTAGTTTCTTCCTACGTACTTTGGTCGACCTCCGGCAACGTCAACATTGGAGAATTAGTACTGGAGCAGCCTTCCCGCAGCAACCCTGGAGTCTATTACGTTTATTGTAGATTTTGGATCTTTGTAAACCCAAGTAACGAAACTTTAATATATTCTTCCCGTAACTAAACTGATTTGGTATTTTATTTTCTATTTGAATTTGGGTAACTAAGTCAACAGAGTAAAAGGTCCACCACAAACATAAGAATTCAGCTAAGGTAAGAATGGTTGACTCTGAAAAGATAAGTAATTTAGAAAAAAGCTCAGCAATTGCAATGCATGCTTAAACACAACCACACAATAGGGTGGGATAGGGTTAAAATTTTTAAAAGTAATCTAGATAGGTGGAGAGAGAGAGGTTGATTACTGAATCCTTGTTCATGGAGTCTACACGAAACACATGCAATAGGAATGATTCATCACTCATACCCGAAAATGGAAAATACTACTGCCAATCAAATCAAGTGAAAAATAATGGAACTGTATTGATGAAGTTGGGAAGTCGTGTATTGAAATGATTATGAGCAATAAATAGTGCCTGAAACGTCATAAGTAAACATTACTGTATAACTCTGTGAGACTTCATCAAAACAAAAATCTACCCATAATGGAATTGTAGTCTACCACAGTGCACAAGTTCTATTCTTATATCAGATTTCTACAGGTAAAGCAACCAAATGAGCCAGCAAAAATAACGACAACCATTTAATGAACTGTGTGGAGTACGTAAGAATGTGATTGTACACTTTTTGGTTATTTGTATAAATTCGAGATATTGTACATAATTTTTGTTTAAAACGCTTCTTGTTGAAATATACATAACTTCCGTGTACAATTGGAAAATACACTCTGCTGTTGGAGACTTCGTCTTCTCCCTGGTCACTTCTGCTTACTTGCTCACTCACACCGTGTTGTATACTTCGGATTTATTGTAGGAGCCTACTACTCTCAACCGAAGACATTTCTACAACCGGAACACAGCAGCTACAGCAGACGCAGTCCAAACAATTAACGTGCCCGTGGCTGCACGTAGTTTCAGGTCCTTATGGGCAATTCGCAGAGCCTTTACAAGAATTACCAGAGATATGTTCACCTCCTTATATACATCTCTGGTTAGGTCAAGACTGGAAAACTGCATCCAGGCCGCCAGTCCGTGTCTAAAAGGGGATTCACACATTCTAGAAAGTGTTCAAAGGAAGGCAACACGTATGGTTCACGGCATAGCTAACTTATCATACGAGGAAAGACTAGATAGTTTAAATCTCTTCTCACTGTCATACCGAAGGCAGAGAGGAGATTTAATCACAATGGTTAGAATTTTAAATAATGACTACGGACCTGACCTATTCTCTCTTTTCCTTCCCACCAGGTCGGAACACCTTAGAGGACATAGCAGGAGAGTTCAAAAGCCAAGGAGAAATCATATTGCTGTTGAGTACTGGTTCTCACATCGAGTCATAAACTCTTGGAACCGACTCGCAGAAGAAGTGGTGTCTGCAACCTCAACTGATTCGTTGAAGAAGGGTTTGGACAACCACAGAAATCTACTAGAAAAGGATTAACATAGGCTCCAAGCCTTCTATCCTCAATCAATAAATCTGAAATCTAACACTCCACTGACTTGGATTATTATTTTTATATTTGGAATGTTAGTGAACTCTAATATTAATCCCCTACAACTGCAGTTCATTATTTTCGGGCGTACTGCAGACTTTGGGAGAAGAAACTTAGGGCGCATTAACGTACGTGGGACAGTGTTCATATGCCTGCCCTAAAAATCTGCAGTGCACCCGAAGTCCACCCAAAAAGTCTGCAATGCGCCGGAAAAAATGATAGCTGGGTGTTAAGAAGAACTTCTGCCAACCAAACGTGTTCATGTGCATAATTTCCAAAACTTCTACACATTACTGATTCATAAGTAGATGAAAAACAACTAAAACACTGATAGCCACATGAAAGGAGCGTATAGGCCTATTACAATGGAATGGATGCAAATCCATCCATGCAGTGCGCACTGCATGACCTGGTTGTAAAGTCTTTTGAAACGGAATAAGTAATTTTAACAGCAGCGGAAACAAAAATGAGGTGAAACGCAACCCTTATAAACAACGCGCAGGATAAACGTAAAAATGATGTGTAAACGAACGGCTGAGGAACTGCGATCCAATAGGGCCGACTAACACAGGCGAAAATGACCTTTGAACGTCTCACTTCACCAATGACCTTGAACGTGACAGACAATGTAGGCCACACATGGACGTATAAACGAAATTGGATATTGAGAGTATCCCATCTTGCAACGTAAGGCGGAAAACCCTCAAGGTCAGTCTCTCACATGAAATGGACAGGCAAAGATCTTTCGAAGTTCTGGACCTTGAGGTAATTTTAATTTACTGAATTATATATAATTGCAGAGTGATGAACTGAAGCAAGGTATGTCCAAGGTTGTGCACGTACCACTGAACCAAAAATTCTTTGATTTATAAACAGTAATTGTCTGATTGTTTGGTGAACTTATTCTTCATGTCTAATATTGTCAGTGCCCTTTTCAGCTCACCTAATACGTGATAAATGTGCGAACATGCAACATGCAAGTTTGTTTCAGTATACCAAGCTGTAGCTTGAATAATAACTCAATTATATATAATTGAATTAGCTGACAAAGAATGAAAAGTAGATCATATCTAAAAAAATTTAAGCTTTCGGTTTGTGCGCACTGAATCAACTATTGTCATACACCAGTGAGACATATTTCAAATGTCACTTGCGAATTGTCTCACCTATAAGATGTGAAATTACTATATAGGCAAAGTTTAACTAACATAGCCAAAACCACAGGTATGCAAAGAATCTTTTTTACCGGAAGCGCAGTATAACTTCCAGTGTGTACTTATCGAACTACCTTGAGGTATAACAAAACTTTAGTAACGGCAGAATGCTTCTGAGTTTGTGGTACACTGCTGATCAGCGTGAGTCTTAATTACACAAGAATCCACGGATGACTGTGATTATTATGACTGCCTTCCAGAAAGTCAATCCAAGTTTGTCAGCTGGCGACTGCAAGGTTTTGTAAAGGATTAGTCATGACCAAGGAATGAATGCATTCATTCCTTGGTCCTGGTGAATAAAAAACCATAACCTAAAACTTCTCAAAAATCCTATTTAATAAGATAACTCTCCGTTAAGCATATTTTATCCATTATTACAATATTATTTACCAGGTTTCGATAACTTGCTCACTGAGCATTCCAATGTTATTGGTTTGACCTCACTCCACTGGCACTTACTGGTGCCTAAAGTTTAACTTGGCCGGTAATTGTTTTGAGTCACATTTTGAGTAAGACATGTCTTTTCGCTGGTCATCTGGTGTTGTAAGCCTACGTATCCTGTCTACAAGACCATGTACTAACTCTCTTTTTACCATTAGTGGATGAGCTGAGTGATAATCAAAGAATCTCCCAGAATACGTAGCTTCTCTATATGTCGTCATTTTTATTTAGCCATCTGTTACTCTATGTACTTTCCAGTTTAACATAGGGGGTTCTCCAATGTCATTCTCTATTTCCATATTGAATTTTATTGAGTCTACGGGAATGTTTATGTGTGAGATGAATTTTCAATATCATTCTTTTTCATTATTACTAACGTGTCATTTACATATCTCCACCAACATTTTATTGATGACCTGAGTGGCTTAAGTGCAGTCTCTTCCCAAAAATCTATGAATATGTCAGCTATTATTGGTGAGATGGACGATCCCATGGCTACTCCTTCATTTTGTTGGTATATTTTTCCTTCAAATGTAAAGTATGTTGTTGTCAGACAGAATTCAACCCCTTTTATTATCTCTTCTACGGATAAGTGTGTCCTGTCCTTTAGGCCATCATCTTCTAGTTTTGTTTTTTGTGCATTCATGGCCATTTAAGTGGGTATTTTAGTACAGAGACTGTTTACATTAAAGCTGACTAGTATTCCCTCTTTGTCTAGTTTAGTATGTTTTAGTTATCGCACTAATTCAAATGAATCTACTATTCCAGCTTTTGAACTGTTTCTTGTTGGCCTTAGTATTGTTGAGAAATCTTGACAGCTTATACGTCGGTGTGTTTCTAAAATCTGCAATCGATCTTATCGGATATCCTTTTGTTTGCAATTTTATCTTGCCATATGTCCTAGGCATATTACATGATTTCGGCACAATTTCCAAACATTTTGACCTAATTATTTCTTTCATCTGTCTAACCACTTTTTCTATCTCTTTCGTCGTTTTATTTGTGATCGTTTCTGATGATTTGGTCACTAGGGTATGGGGTCCGGATTGTAAATGTTCGTTCACTTATTTTTTCCCCCGTATATGTTGTTTCGTTAAGTATTACTGTTTCATTTGTCCGACTGAGTGGTCACAATAGATTTATGTGTTTTTATGTCTTTAAGTACTTTTAGTTCTTCCGACGTTATATTTAGTTTTTCTGCTTATTGTTTTTTCGATGATAATGCTTATTTCGCCAGTACCAGTTTTGACTTTTGTTTGCCACATCCTCCCAGAGATATTTTAGTCACCGGTATAACATCTTCAGGTTTTAACCTTTTGCTACTAATATTGAATTTCATTCCTTTCATTAGTATGCTTTTCTCTGCTTCTGTTAGCTTTCTGTTTGACATGTTTACAATCCAACTGGTTTTTGTTACTTGTATTTCATTTGTGTTTTTGCGATCATTAGTTTATTAAATTTTTTAATTTACCAAGAAATATATGAAAGCATACTAGAAGTTGCGCTAAAATGAAAAGAAACTACCTATGCACTGAAGGAAAATAGGCTATTGGAAGTGATAAACAGAAGTAGCTGATACCTGTCACACGAAACGTAGCCTTCACCAGCTAGCGACTTAGGGCTCCAAATGATGGGCTGGGATTGTTAATGAACTATTGATTGTCTGCTTAATCTACTTTACTTATATTGTACATAAGTATAATTGTGACTCTTATGATTGAGAATCTTCCCAATTTTGTTTTAGAGCTGGTTATTGAAGCAAAACAAATTGAGGAGTATGAGACTGAGCGCATTCAACTATTGACAAGTAATTTATACGAATTTGATTTGTTTCGCTTTTCATTTCATTTTCCACTTTTTACTCAGTAATATTAACTGATGATGACTTGATATGAATATGAGCAATAGTTTGTGCTTGAAACTTCATGAGTTAATATTACTGTGTAACACTGTGATTCATCAAAATAAAATCTTATCTATAATAGAGACAGTTAACAGAAATATAAGACAAAAAGAATAGTAATATGGAAGAACAATAGAATTTTATTGGATATTATAAGTCACATCGAGTGGATGCATCTGCGCTATTGAGAACGATTTTGAGCCATATCACAAATTGTCTCCAGCCATTGGCTTTTACCATCCTGATGACCCCAACGAAGAAGTGTACATCTCCCTACATGGCTGGCTTAAACTAACTATTGTGGATTTCATTGGCTGATGTCATGTTTTCGTTTGACCAGCACTAGCTCTTTTCCAAACTGATCCATCCTGTGTCAGCTAACATTGCCCGTCAAGGAAGGCGATGGCTAGGCATACGTAACACATGTCCTAACCATCTCAGTCGATGTAACTTCACAGACTCGTCGATTGATTTCCCCTGTTTACCTAGTGCTCGACTCCTAAGCTCAATATTGCTCACCCTATTATACCACTTAACACGGGAGATAGAACGCAGGCACCTATGACCAAACACAGCTAGCTAGCCTATTCATGTCTTCCACTCTCGATGACCAGGTCTCACAGCCTTAAAGGAGGTCGGAGCGGACTTCTGAGCAGTACACACGCCCTTTGGTTGGTAGCCGGATATCAGGTCTACGCCGGAGATGGCGTAAACTGACATATGCGAAACTAGCCCTCTGCATCCCTGTTGAGATTTCGTCAGCGATCAACCCGTTGGTACTGGCTGATGAAACTCCCCAAATAAGTGAAGTGGTCAACACGCTCTACCACTTCACTCCCTATCTCTAAGCTAGGAGTCAATTTTGTCCTGTCCTGTAGCCTAATCATCTTACATTTGACTGACATGAGCGAGTTGCATGTCGAACATTCTCAGATTGTAGCTCAAGGTGTTGAGAAGACTCTGCTCTATTTTGTCAGCGTCTTCACCTAGAAGGACTATATCATCTGGATATTCTAAGTCAACGAGATTATTCCATGGTAATTAGCTGATGCCTTTTCCATCGCGTTTGTCGCCCACCACTGTTCACAGTCGTCGCGAATGCTTCTCAATTTGCTTTTGGGCAGCTTTCGCTTCTCATCATATTCGGAGCTTGCCGGAATCAATCTTCTTGTTTTAATCAGCTCGATGAGGTGGTAGAAATCCAATGGCTCTTACGAACCTTTGGTTTCAGGTTATTAACAGCCTTTACAGCTGTGTCTACAGCTAACTGTATGTTGTGCCAGCCAACCTCATGTGAAGTCCTGCTGTCGACCTCAGATACTCGTTTCGCTATTTCTTCCTTACATACGGATTTGGTGTCTTGATCTAGTTGGGGACGTAACTGTTTCGCTGCCAACAATTTATTAAGTCTGTTTAGTTGTAAGCATAAACGTGCGCGGACCAGAGCGTGATAGGAGTTTACACACGTGTTCCAGATGAAGCGACAGTCTTCTACTGACCCTCGCCAACGATACCCTATTGCTATGTGGTTTATTTGAGTCCGACGTTGATTTGGTGATGGAGATCGTCAGGTTAGGCAATGTCTCTTTTTATAATAATACGTTGATAAATATATTAGCATTAAATAGCGAAACGTCAGTGAAAACAATATCGTTTTGTTTTTCATTCATTGGGAAATACAAAAACCTTTATTAGAATGAATGTCTCTTTTTGCCTAAATTTAGTACTGACCAGGGAAAGATGGATTATCTGTGCAGAACTGTTTAAGACGATCACAATTGTCCGTTCGTCGGCGTTGAACTCGATACGTACCACCTACATACTTCTCAGTCTGGTATAACTTCCCTACTTGGGCATTAAAGTGGTCTGCTAAAACAACCATATCTGAGCGTTTTGCTTTTTTGTTGTAGTTATTTGTAATAGTAGTATTAGTATTTCACGATGACCGAATTACAAGAATTCAACCAAAACACGGAGAGGGTTGAATTTAGGAATTTGTATTTCGCGGGATTATTATTCAATTCATATAAGACATATATTAACAAGCAACAGGTAAGTATTTAAACAATTCAGAGATAGAAATTGTCAATCACCACATTTTCGCAGCAAACTAGGCAGTGGTAGAAACCATCCTTTAGATCATCTGAAATGCAGTGGGTTGGGGCGTTAGCGGAGACTATGAAAAGACAACTATGCGTAACGCCGTCCTTCTTCTAACGGACCCGTTCAGACGGACTGCACAAATACGACTATCCACTGAGATCCAGCCGAGAAGTGATTTTTCTGCGCTAACACTCAATTCTATCCCTACACCTGCAAGTCCTTGTGAACTAGCTGAGGTGTCTCCTGACAGCCTTAGGGTGAATTTTGCAGATTCACTTTGTTGGCCGGGTGAGATTAAGTGAATGATCACACTTGGGTCTTGTACGCGTGTCCCCGAAATACAATATACATCCATGGCTCGAGATGACAGAGTTCTGGCTAGTGTTGCCTGCTGTCTCATTTGACAGAGGGTCCTGACGTTGAAAGCTCCTATATGAAGTTGGCGACGTGGTTTTAAGAGGTTGTCGGGAGTGTTTCTATGGCTCTCATCGTTGTTTGTGGTCACAGAGTGAAGTGAAGATGACTCACTAGTTTGAAGAATAGTACTGACTGTAGTAGAGGGGAAAGATGGTGAGGATGACGATCAGGAGGGTTTTATGTGCTTTCTGAGTGTGTGGGTGGTTGTTACTTCCCGGCTGCTCACACCGTGAAAGTTGATTTATTCTTGGGGTACCTGAAATAAAAAGGGGGTTAGTGTTGCGTAACCTCAGAGCCCAGGAGACAACTTCTCGAGGCCAGTTATACACGGCCTGTATGAACTTTTTCCTTGGATTGGTTCCGTATTAGTAAATTTACCGCCAGTTACGGACCACCATAGGGTTTGTCGGGATGTACAATTTTGGGGTCGATTTTTTCAACCCACTCTCCAGATTGCAGAGACAGCATCCTAGTCATCTGAAGAAAACATCTCACTGCTGTTACATCCCCATTACCCAGCAGTACAACTTCTCCCACAGACACCCAGCATAGTGTAAAAAAGTCTTACACTATGCCGGTAACGGCTTTTAGTCTAATTGCTATCCTAACAATCTTCCTGACATGGTAGGACCTGCAGGAACATTATCTCCCGTCAGTGTAGCTTGTTGGGTCATTGGGACATGGAAGCCTGACCACCACGTAAAGGTAGCAGCTGTTGCTTGGGTCAAGATAACCAGCTATCGGTCGGGGACTATCAGAGTGAAGTAGACATATGTACCATTAATAATCAAACAGATTAATTTAGCAGGTAGAAGCTCATATGTACCTATATGCCAAAGCACTCAATTAGTAGAAACTGAACGAAGATTGCATCGTAGTCGAATGGTACTTCCAGAAGTTAGCATGTATGGCTTTTTCTCAGTTTAATTAGTATGATTTCGCTGGAAAACACAATGATTCATGATGAGTGATCTATATGCTATAGGTTACCTGTTTACATACTGACATAGAGGCCTTTTGGGTTTTAATAAGAGGCACGAATCATTAAGATTCTGTCTGTCTGGATTCAACATACAACTTGGCACCGAAGTGCAGCAGTTCGAGTTGTCACGTTCCTAATAGCACACAAAGATAGACAAGAAGAGAATCAATATAACTTGACAAGTATAAGAGTGAAACATAATGGGTAATGGTGAAAGGGAATATGAAAGATTACAGAGACTGAATACATCTGCGCCATTGACAGCGATTTTGAGCCATGTCACCACCTATTGTCTCCAGCCATTGATTCCTATAGTCCCGAGGGCCCCAACCCGGAAGTCTGCATCTCCCTACCTGACTCAGTTGTACTGTCAAGGATTTCATGGATTGATGCCATGTTTTTGTTTGGCCACCACTTACTCTTTTCCAACCTGTTGGTAATGCCCGTCGGGGTAGACGATGGTTAGGCATGAGCGTCACGTGACCTAGCCATTTCAATCTATGTAACTTTATAGCCTCGTCGATTGATTTCCCCTCTTTGCCCAACACTCTACGCCTAACGTCAGCATTACTTACCTTATTAAACCACCTAACGTGAGAAAGAGATCGCAGACACCTATTATCGAAAGCAGTCAACCTTTTCATGTCTTCAACTCGTATTGGCCATGTTTCAGAGCCATAGAGAAGGACGGAGCGAACTGCTGAGCATTATACACGTCCCTTGGTTGATAGCCGAATGTCACGCCTACGCCAGAGATGGTGTAAGTCAGCGAAAGCAGCTCGAGCTTTTTGGATCCGTGCTGAGATTTCGTCGCCAATCTGTCCGTTGGTGCTGATACAACTTCCCAAATAGGTGAAGTGGTCAACATGTTCTGTCTGTCACTTCACTCCCTATCACTAAGCTAGGAGTTGACGTAGTCCAGTCCTGTAGCAGCATCTTGCATTTTGCAGGGGCGAATCGCATGCCAAACATACGAAGATTGCTGCTCAAGGTGTTCAGAAGACTCTGCATTTTGTCACCATCCTCCCCTAACAGGACTATGTCATCTGCATATTCTAAGTCCATAAGACTATTCCCTGGTAACAAGTCGATTCCTAAGTCGTTACGTTCAGTTAAGGATACTTCCATCAGCATATCTATGATGAAGTTAAACAGAAATGGGGAAAGTGGACATCCCTGTCGGACACCACTGGTTGTTACCAATTCAGATGACAATTCCCCATAAGCCCTTACACGACTATATGAGTTTGAATAGAGTGCCTTGATTAGTGCAATGTCCTATCTTGGCACTCCCTTCACAGTCAAACATTGCCATAGTAGTTCAGTCGTAAGCACACACGAGCGCGGTTCAGTGTGTGATCGGTATTTACACACGTGTTCCAGTAGGAGCGACAATCTCATACCGACCCACGCCAACGATAGCTTATTTCTATGTGGTCTATTTGTGTCCAGCGTTGGTTTGATGATGGGGGTCGCCAGGTCAAACAGTGTCTTTCCTTGTGTTTGAAGTTAATGCTTACAAGAAACAAATGATTATCAGAACAGAACTGTAGGAGACGGTCACCGTTGTCGGTTCGCTGGTACGGAACTCCATAGGTGCCACCGACATCCTTCTCAGATTGACACAATTTCCCTACTTGAGCTTTAAAGTCGCCGGCTAGAACGACTATATCTGAGCGTTTAGCCTTTCGCAGCAAACTAGACAGCTTTTGGTAGAACTCATCCTTCGTTTAATCTGAACTGCAGTCAGTGGGTGCGTAGACTGAGATTACGAAAAGGCATTGGCGAGTAGTGCAGTCCTTTCTCCTTTTTACTGATCCGTTAAGACGGACAGCACATTCGGCTATCTACCGGGATCCAGTCAAGTAATGTCTTTTCTGCCCTAGTACTCAAAGCTATCTCTACGCCAGCTAATCCTCGTGAACTAGCTGTGGTATCTCCTGATACCCTCAAGGTGAATTTTGCAGATTCAACCTGTTGGCCAGGTGGGGTTAGGTGGATAACCACACTTGGGTCTTGTATGCGTGTTTCTGAAACACAACATACATCAATGGCTCGGGATGCCAGAGTCTTGGCTAGTGAATCTTGTTGTCTTATTTGGCAAAGTGTCCTAACATTAAATTCTCCTATATGAAATTGTTGGCGTGGCTTCAGGAGACTATCGGTAGTGGTTTTTTGGCTTCCGTCGTTTTTAGTGGACAGAGTGAAGGGGAAGTGTAGAGCCATCAATTAGAGGAGTTGCATCAGTGGAAGGAAAGCAAGATGATAGAGATGAAGATGAAGACAAAGATGAGTGAGGACTAGAGAGGTTTCGTGTGCGTTTCGGATTGTGAGGGCGATTGTTGCTTCCCGGCTGCCCACACCGTGGAAGTTGGTTGCGTGACCGCAGATTCCAGGGGACAACTGCTTGAGGCCGGTCACACGCGACCTGTTTTTGTTTGTTCTGTTTTGTTTGGTGTGTCTCAGTAGCATATGTATCACTTCTGCCCTGTGACACAGCAGCAGTAAGCGCGGTCGTTGTTAATCGAGGCCCCGACCGATCCGGCATGATACTTTGTGATATTGTTTGAATCATGGTGTTGGATTGGGTAGCTGCTTTTTGTCTAACTGCTATCCAAACAACTTTTCTGGCATGGTAGGACCTCAAGCGACATAAGTCTCAGCCAGTATAGTTTGTTGGGTCATTGCGGTGTTCAAGCCCGACCACTTACTTACTTTACTTTACTTCGGCTATCTCCTACGGGAGGATGAACCGGCTTCATGAACATCTCGAATGTTTGTAAGAGAGTTGATGAAGTTTCATGGAAATTGGGTACGAGTGATGTCCCCAGCATCGCTCGGCCTTTTGTTTGAGAGTACAGCTTTAGCCTTTACACAACCAAGTGTGACCTACAAGGCAGTAGGAGTGGAGTAGGGAGTCCACTATCCATTGGTAGCCGGTGACCGGAGTCCGGTTCATACGCCTTTTTGAATGGGGCCAGACATCCAAGGCATCCAATAAGCCCTTTGTCCATACGTCTGCCGGTGAACTCCGGTGAGCTTCATACTCCAGTCGTTGGAGGTTTGGAATCAGGGTTTAGCCATCTCCCCTAGACTGTCATCCAATGGACAGACAACCCGGTGAAGAGCGCCGGGCATCCGCTTTTGCCCCCTCACTTCGGTGAAATAAACACCACCACGTGAAGGCAGTGAGTAGGACTTCCTCAGGAGAGGCTATGTAAGACGCATGGTCATATGGGAGCATTTCAAGAGGTGTACGGAGGGGTGGCTAACCCGCAGCGCAAGACACCCATCCCCGACCATCCTGAGGCTTTGGAGGCCAACCACCACGTCAAGGTGGCAGGTTTCGGTCGGGAATCATTAAGGTTACCTCTCGCTTTTCGATTTGCGACTGACATTTTTGCATACTGAGCAACGTTTATGATAAACGTCTACTTTACTAACCATACTTGCCCTTATGCTTCATATTTTTAGTCAGGAATATTTATATTTCAGCACTCACTGTCACTGTGTTATCGTCTGAACATTTCAAAGATTCTGGGTGAACTTTTAGGTGATTTCAATGAATTGATCGTTTATTTGTATCCTGTCAAAATCCCACAGATTACTATGGAATGTGCCTCACGTTATTGCAAGACTATCTTCTAAGCTGTTTATGTTCTATGTAGGATAAGTGCTGAGGAATAACTACTTATTTGAAATTTATGGCAACACATAGCTCTCAAATTTCAATTTGGTTACACCGATCCCTAAGATTACGTAGGCGATTAATTGCCTCAGAGATTGTTGGCTGAATAATCAAGTTAATGAGTTCAAGGACTAAGAGAAAACACTTCCTCACACTAAGTATTGGTTTGCAAAAACCCAGTAAATATTAGCATCTGTTAGTCGTTGCAGGCTTATTAGCATATGTATTTTAAACCGCTTCTTAGCTTAATGTAGCAGTGTAAACTGTGGTATTGTGTATACCGAGTATCATTCTGTTTTGAGTTTTCTTTTCCCCAGTTTATACTAGAAAATTAAAGTTAATAACGGAAATATTCCCAGCTATTGCGCAACTGACCTACATAATCAGAATGTAAGGGCTGATTGACTGAGTTTTTAACTAACAATTTTGCATTAAACGCCGGGGATGTATATGGTCTTTGCTTAACGAAACGTAATCCAAATTAACGGTGACACTGTCGCTAAGAAATCAATGGACTCGGTAATTTTATTCAGAGAAGTGTTCAGTACTTGTGATAAATCGGTGAATATTTTAGTCATATAATCACGGGCTAGTAAAGATTGGACGGTTGAATTCCGTTCGATACTTCGTGCTCTATTGTTCGTTTTTCACTTGTCATCTAAAGAAAAATCTAAGTATAAAGTTTACAACAAGCTTTGTCCTTTTTAGTAAAAATCGTTTTCTCGTACTAGGATTCCATCTTATTATCTATAAATGCATCCCTCATTAGACTTTTGTGATAAGATGTCTTAGTATGGACTCCGTTCGTTGGAAATAAATCATTTCACTGAGGTATGAGAAACGTAGTACTGTAACCTACCTGAATGTGCTAGGTAAACTAATAAAAAATGAAATTCAATCAAAACTCACAGTATTTTTTGTTTCAGATGAAGTCAGTGCAGAGGAAAGCACCAACTCATTCTCCGACTTAGTTCCGCAACATGAATCACCTAGCACAGAGCTTTTGGAGTCCGATTGCTCAGAAAATTCCCTTTCTACATCATCCGACTTCGTGAAACTCGACGTTGATGAGGAGCAGACGTAAGTAATACTTGTGAATTTGAAGTTTGTAGAATGTAGTTGGATTTTTTATCTTGTGGCGTAAAACAGTTAACTTCACAGTCATCATGCTTTTCATTTTTACAGCTGCCTCTTGAAACAGGAAATCTAATCAGTCTTTGATTCCTATTTCCATCGGTCGTTTGGCTTGCATTTTGTTTTTGGCACCATGGATAACCGTGGTTGTTATACATTGAGATATTTTGTAATTAGAGATATCTAAGGACTAAACATTCATTCGTTGTCAAAATATTACCTCATTTTCTCTATACAATAGTTTCTTCTACGATTTATTGCTTATTGGCATATCAGAAACAAAAACATTATCACTGGATTCACATGAATTAAAGGACAGCTATTTGCTTAATAAATGTATTAGCTGATGCAATGTCATAATGCTTTGTAAAACAGTCTAGCAAACTTAAAAATGTGTCAGATTGTATTACAGGAAAACATGAAGTACTTTTCTATCATGAAAAGCTCCAGGAATGCGTTCACAAATCTGTCTTGTTTCATAAACTTTCACATAAGAAGGACTGATAAATCCCAGACTAATCGACAAACAGTGTCATGATACTTCTCAATTATTCATCCGTGGCGTTATGAATGACATATGGGGCTCCATCGACATACTTTCATCGTGCTTAATTCTCTGCCATGACTTTCACTCGGCTCCACTACTGCCTTCTTCCTCTTCATACGCTCTTCCCCGTATCACTCTTGGACGCCCAACTTATAACTTCTCATTCGGGTTCCATTCGACGGCTTAGTCTATGATGCCACTTAAATATCCATCCATCCCTGTTTTCTTTTACATATTGGTTGGGCAATAGGTTTAGGGTTGGCTGACTTCACAAAATTGTTGCACATCCTTTCTGGTTACCTGATCTTCAGTATGGAGCGAAAACAAGTGTTGATGAAAATATGCAGTCTACTGGAAATGGTTTCGGTGATGCGTCAAGTCTGTGTATCGCATTAAAAGGTTATTTGACGTTGGTAGTAAAATAGATGATCTTGTTCTTTGCTTAACAGGCCGTGGATTTCATCACCTTCATGACAAGTAAACAAAAATGACAGTTCATCTTTCCAGCACAAAAAAATACATTCAGTATAGACTCTGTTCTATTAAGATATGTTAGTGACATCTTAATTGAACTTATTATTTTTACCCTGTTATGAACGACTTGATTTCTATCTATCGAAATAAGGTATGTGTCAGAAGTTCACTATAATTATCTAGGATGGATATTATAGCTTCTATATAGTTGAGACAAAAACAGTTAAATAAGAAAATGGATCCGTGTTATACTACTCCAGTTTTTTTTCTTTTTAAATAATCAATCGGTGTGTGATTGAATTTTTAAAAATGTTTACTACACTACTTTGTTCGAATGAACGACGTGTAAAACACACTCTTTTCCATGTTGCAAGTCATTATCCTTAAACCCCCCACTTATAGATTTATTTCTCTTTCTAAATACATATATTTAATTCCATATTAGTTTGTTTTTTAGATGTATCACACAGTGAAACAGTATTATTTACTGGATGACGTTTTGTTTAGTTAATATCTAAGCTAAAAACAAAATGGGTTCTTCACATAGTATAAATAAAATCATTCTTGACAGTTAACTAAATGGATAATAATAATAATAATAATTTGCCTTATTCCAAAAACAGTACTAATGATACAGCAAGGAATTTTCAGCATTCACTACAATATTGCATCTAATTTACTCAAAAACGACAACAAAAATTAAAAATACGCATTACATAATAATAATAAAACGAATGTTATAGCAGCTACATAGCAAAATACTGTATGCAATACGGAGAAAAATATGCATGGAGTATAAAAATGTAGTAATAATAGTAATAACTAAAATAAAGTAGCAAAGTTATAATTAAACGATAGAAATTTCATACATTTATTCCCCTTAATGACACCATATAATACAGAAAGATGAACAATGAAAGGGTCGATTCACTGTGCTAATTACATAGTAACTTGTAAGTTTCACGTCTAACAGAGTCTTCGTCACATAAAGTACGCGCTAAATGGGGTATTGTAGTATTTTTGTACTTAGTGATACGAGCATATAACTTTTTATATTGACTTCTCGTCCTACCTTATGAGATACAAGGGGATAGTTGTGAATAAAGGGGGTGTAGAGGGTCTGACATTATAGCCTTTGCCCATTTGGTACAGGAATTTATGTCTCTCGACTATAGTATTGGCGAGCTCACGCAGTGGCATGCCACAAGCCCTACTCACAGCATTTAATACTCTTCGTAATATGATATAATTTTTTTTGAGCAGCCCAGGAAGGATTAATGGAGAGTAATAGAGTACAATAAGTAAAATACAAGAGTTTAAAAATTGCAAAACTAAAGGTTGGTTGATACCTGATTGTCTTAACTTTTTAATGTAGAAGGTAAGACGAAACATTTTCTTAGAGATAGATAAGATATGGGATGACCATGAAAGGTCATAGGAAAGAACTAATCCAAGGTATTTAATGCTTGACTTGGTTTCGATTTTCGTGCCATCTATGATACAGGCATCATGCGAACTAACTAGTTCGTGTAAGTCACGCCGATGCTTGAAAGTAAAGTCAACTGCCTGATATTTGGAATGATTTAACATAAGACCATTTGACTTAAACCACCTGTTGATGTCCAACAGAAAGCTACTAAGTTTGGAGCTGTCAGACTCGGAAGTGATAGTCAGTGATACAGTCAGATCATCTGCATATTTAACAAAGTTAGTTTCGTTTGAATGAGGCAGGTCATGTAGGAAGAAAGAAAAAAGAAAAGGAGAGAGGACAGCACCTTGTGGAACACCGGTTTTGTAAGCGAGGTAGAAGAAGATTTGCCGTTATATACAGTATACTGCATTCTATCAGAAAAATAGGAATGCAACCAACTCTTTGCCCATGCTCCTGTTTGTGTCAACGATAGCTTATTTAACAAAAGGCCCCTAGGTACGGAGTCAAAAGCAGATGTATAGTCTAAGAAAGCTCTCTATTGATTCTCTTCACTCATCTTCTTGTCTACCTTGTGTGCCAATTGGAACGTGGCAACTCAAACTACTGCACTTCGGTGCCAAGTTCTATGTTGAACCCAGACAGAGAGACTAAGAAAGCACTACGAACATATTTAGCACCTTTGTCTAAACAAGAAACAACATTGTGATATAAGACAACCGCAGCATCCAAGGTACTTCTACCATGTTTGTATGTAAATTGTTTACGATCATTAAAAGGTTTCAACGAAGGTTCAAGACGAAGTAAAAGTAATTATTCCATCAATTTTAAAAAAGGAGAAGTAATTGCAATAGGCCGAAATTTAATATCAGAACCAGAAGATGGTTTTGGTATGGGAATAATTTTAATGTTTTTCCTTGCAAAAGGTAGAACGTTACCGGAAATAGAAGCAGCAAAAATGTTAGTAAGAGGGTAACACAAAATATCAACACAATTCCTGAGCACAATGGCAGGTATGTCGTCAGGATCAAGGCTTTGAGAAGGCTTAAGAGACCGGAGACATTTAAGCACATCAAGGGTATTAAAACCACTAAAATTATTGTCAATATGATTTGTATCATTAGGAAGAATATCGACAGAAGAGCGTATGAAAGATTTATTAAGAGTGTCGACATTAAGAGATGGGATAGAAGTACATCACTTACCGCTAGTAATTTCTTTGAAAAGTTTTACATGACAAAAATCTTTGATTATATAAAACGTTTCGAGTTTTATCAGAGTATTTAACTTTTTTACACCTGACTTATCATTTGTTTTGAACAACAGTTCTTTATCTCTATGTAGCTTTTTGAGATATGGCGAAGAGAAACGATCGAATCGAATGAATAATGTTTCTTTAGGACAACATATTTGGAAACAGAATTTAAGATAATCAGTAGTATTTGTGATTATGTCATCCAATGTTTGTTCTGTAAATAAGTCCTAGTTAGTGTCTTTCGACATCCATCTGAGCTTGTCTAGGTTGTCTTATGAGTAGCGTCTCCGTTGAACTTTACCGTAGAGGTGAGAGATTACACCTTTGTGTGATTTGGAATATATTTTAGGCAGTACACGTATGATGCAGTGGTCAGAGTTAAGTAAAGGAGCACGTTTGCGAGCTTCATATATACCAACATCATTGATAAATACTAGATCCAGTGTTTTACCAAGACGGGTAGCAAAGTTAACAAAATTGTCATGACCAAGTGATATAAGGAAGAAGTGATCGCATGATTCAAAATCACCAGTTACTATTGATAACGTGTGATATTGATAAGGAGTTCTCGAAGCAAGCTGCAGCAAAAGCGGTGAATTCATCAGCGAACATAGATAAATCCGGTATGGTACAGCCAGGAGAGACATAAACATTAGAAATATAAATGAATTTGTATTTTGACAAGTGTTTCGGGCGACATCTCACAGTGATGCAATCAATGTAGTCATTCGAGAATTTGAAACAAACTTTGTTAGAAATGGACCATTTTGAGTGAATAAAAGTTGCAACATGTCCGCCACATTTTTCCCTGGAACAAACACGGGCTTGTCGGAATACATTAAAATCGTTTAGAGACACTATATTGTCATCATATGAGTCATGGAGCCAGGTTTCTTGTAGAGTGACAATACCAATATTGTGGTAAATTCCGGACGACAACAGGGACTGAAAATCCAGAATTTTGTTAGGCAGGGATCGACAGTTTGTACTAATGATAACCGGAACACTGGTGTGATGTATGGGTGTAGATTTTAGCACGCTGCCAACCCCATGGTGCTTTTTATTGAGTTTATTGCAAATATGAAAGTTTTTGGGTTTAAAACGTTTTATGAAATCCCGGGAGTGAATAATACGATTAGAATGCATAATTCGATATGTAAACACCAACAAAATATGAGTAAATAGATGCAAAATGTACATGGAATATGGTAGCCCAAAATGTCCAAACAGGCCGCCAAGGTCATTCGATGAAGACAGCAAGAACCAACATTGAATCATGGTGAGAAACTGGAATGGGTGAGTAAACAAGACTATAATCTGTAATTTGCAGATGTCTAATTAAAAAAAATTAAGTAAGGATCTTCAAAGAGAAGATGAATGAATCTCTCTCCCTACAAGTTTCTCAGTAGTTTCACACCATGTGAGTTAATAGAGAAAATCAGTATTTAAACGAGCATTCTTTATCTATTTTTCCATGACACTTTGTATTTATACTGAAAGCAACTGTAGGCTAAAAGAAAGAAAAAGAAGGTAAGATAATTCAATTCATTTAAACCGAGTTCCCAATCTTTTTTATACAAGAGAAAGAAGGTAACATAATCAATATTTAAACCTCAGAGGTGTAAACCCTTTGAAGATGTCACGCAATAAAATGAACTGAAGTATATATAAGAGTAGTGTTCACACTATTCACATTCAGGCATCGATTTTCGTTTATATGTATGTATCTCATATTTCTATATTCTAACTTGTTTCCATAACTTGTCTAGTACATAAACTTGAATAGTTTCTTTTGTCATTACCTTTTACTGTCTAATTACAGCGCTGTTACACAGTTTACTACATCTCATGACTTAGACAAGTCTCAGTCTTCTGCTTTGTCTTATGAAACAAAAACATCCATTCTGTACCATCAATTAGAAGTTCAATTTTCGAAAACTTTGCCTACAATCATATCTGACCGAATACATTTTTACTGTAAGTAAATCGCTTCGTTGTTATTATAATTATTATTATCATTAATCATTTTATTATTTATTTATTTAAACGCATAAAAAACTTGGTACAATATGGCACGAAGAAAGATGCTCCACACTACGTTTGTTGTGTGAGGGCTGAGATACTGTCCGGGGGCCCAGACCGAAGCAGGTGGTTTTCTTAAGGGACCACCCCCGAGCCTTTGACTTGGAGTCTAATCCGCAATGCAGCGGAGCAGCGTCAGGAGCTGCATTCACATGGTTGCCGGTTACCCATATGGGTTCTTACGCCATTTGATCCTATTGGATTCTGGAGCCCATGTACCCCAAAGTAACTGCTTTTAGTCTAACCGCTTTCCAAACAACCTTCCTGACATGGTAGGACCTGCAGGGACATGAGTCCCAGCCAGTTTAGCTTGTTGGGTCACTGCGGTATTCAAGCCCGACCACCACGGCAAGGTAGCAGTTGTCGGCCGGGATTAATCGTTACTATCACGATTGTCACTTATCACTACCATTTGTAATATTACTTCAGGGTTTATATATATATATATATATATATATATATATATATATATCCTTGTATATACCCCATTGCTGAAGATATTGTGCAAAATTTGGAGAAGCATCTGTGCAAGCTTTTCGGTCTATTTGCCTTGAGTTGTCTCCCAAACTTTTCCTTGGGCATACCGACCAACACCACCATTGAATTTCTGGGAAGGAGTGATTTTTTTCTTTTCAGTAACATTCTTCTAATACGTTTGTTCCCGATGCAGAGGCATCCCTTTAACAGTACAAGCATATTCGTGCATAATTCGAAGTGTATACGTAAGTATGGAATCCAAGCCTCGCATATCTTGCTTTCGTCTTCATCTTTAGGTTTCCAGGATTACTTCACCATTCTACCTTCAAACTAACTGCGCCTACTGATAGGAATCAGCTTAAAGTAGTAATCATCTTATGTTTCATCATATGATTCATCGTATGGTCAGATGACTGTAAAATGTTATCCTCTTTTTCTCACCTTTGTCGTGGTCAAATCGCCAAGCAATCAGAACAATATATTTACACTTCTCTGGGTCGATTTTAATGTTACAGAGTTTAAATGTGACATGTTTTTCCTAATAAAATCGTATCCAAACAGTCACATGCCAGTATCTGCCTTTTGATATTTACATGGCTCAGTGAGGCGGAAGGTACCACGGACGAATCGGTGTATCCAGTATGTCATTTGGGTTGTTCATTGCGTCAGTATTATTATACCCACGCATCAGTCCACTGGATCATATCAACTGTCGACACGACTGGTATACAACACCTACACTGATGATGAAATATAAAATTTGCATTTAGTTTTCTTGTATTCTCCAAGTTGAATGGCTATCCAGATCGGAGAATACAACAGTACTGTTACTAATTATGAAACTTTCAATATCCATCTACACAACAGCTTTCATGTGAAAATGTTACCCAGAAGGACAATGAAAACGTCTCGGTTAAAGCATCCAGATCAGGCAACACAAAAACATCCATCTAATCTACAAATCTCCGCTGCTTCGAAAATTTGCTTAAATTTCAACCAACTTATTATTAACTATGGATTTAACAAATAAATCCATGTATTGATCTCGATTATTTAGTACTGAAGCATAATACAGTTGCGTTAGCCATAATTGTTATGATGTACAAGAATGTAGAATAGCTAGGTCAAAAGGCATATAATGTCATAATCCCACTTTCGTCAATGATCTCTTCAGTGGTGTTATTCTTCCCACGGGAAATTATAATTATGTTGGATCCAATAAATATGGTATTCGGCAAAGTGTTTGAACGAATAACACTCGTATTAATCACTTGAATAATTATTCTAACTGATGATTTAATAAGGAAGTGGTCTGATTAGCTGATTGCATTTTTTCCATCACTGCCTCTAATGAAATTTCTCTATTTATTCGTCAATAAGTCAGATTAACATCATCGTCTGGTATTTTAGATGAGAATATGAATCACTGATTTTAATCATGAATTTAAGTAGTTTTTATGTTCCTAGTTGCACTGTTCTTTCTGATACTTAGAAAATCATATTTCTCTCTGTTATTACTGGAAAATTTTCGTTATTAACCTAGACTATATATTGGACAGAAATCCGACTTTGTCCTAAATTCTCTGGTAATTTTCTTGTCTTTTGCTTTTGTCCTCTTCTCGCACGCCGATTAACAACACTATCAAATCTTCTCTCTTCCTGTCACTGCACGGTTATAACACTACAGACTAACTAGCTCTATAGTCCATAATTCAGGATTTAAATTGTACAAATATTGACCATTTGTGCACTAATCAGATAAGCGACCAATCAACTGTCGCCACATAGTTTATCTGAAACGTGTAATGTATTGGCGCAACACATTTCGAACATTCTGATCACACACGTACTTGTCATACACAGTTTTTATAGAAGGCAAGAAGGCATGAATAGTTACAATACAGGTCAGATTGTGTACAGATCAAAGTCACAAATAATGGTAGGAAGACGCAAAAGGTGTGGGTAAGAAAGATTTTTTCTTCCTTCACGTTCCCCAGTGGAACATAGGGCTTCAAGCTAGTGACTTGAAGTTTCTGTAGCAGTGTTTAATTCTACAGGATGGAGTTGCTAGCCTCATGCCCAAACTTTCCTCTTTACCAGCGTTATTTCTGGCTTAGCGAGGTAAAGGGGAGCGTTGGCCGGGGATTGAACCCCGGACCATGTACATGGTCGACGAGCGTCCCATCCGCTATGCCACCGACGCACTGGGTAAGAAAGATAGGGAGAGAAAAAAACAAGGCAAAGAAGGGGTTTGAAAATATTATGAAGTAAATTGGTCATTGGTTCTAAATTGTATTACCAAGGCAGGTTTAAGGTGATAACAAATAACTTTTGGACACATAAGACAGGTTCAAGCCTTTTTATGGCTAAGGCTTCAATGAATTTAAGTATGTGGCCCAACCTTTTTTTATATATCGGCTTAAAGGCATTGTTAAAATCACTATGATATACTTCGCTATAGATGACGTTGGACGTCTATTTCTGGGGGCAATTGTATCTAGCGACTTCATTTGTTGCTGCAGCCATTTTGGAATGTGTTCTGTAGCCCTGACATGCAGAGACCGATGGGTCCTCCTTATGTACGTGTTTCCACACATGTAAATTGATAAACACAGTGGGGTGTGACACTATCGTTCGGATAATGTGAGGGTTTACAGGATAGCATAGTTCTCGTTTTCTCTATGAAGATAAGTTTAGCTGCATAATAGGTTCTATTAATTGTGGCCTTGAGTGTTTGTCTAGTGACTAAACTTTGTTGATCACCTCTGAACGGCAAGGATATGTAAACATCCTTTTTGTGGACTGATTGGATTGGTAAAGCTCTATGGTTGACACTTCCATAACGTCTAATAAATCTCAGTGGGTAATTGTTATCTAACAACATTTCAGTGAGATGTTGTCTTTCTTCTTCAATTATATCGGCAGTACATATACGGTGAATTCTCTTGAACAAACATTTAACCAACGCCTTTTTACACTGTAGTGGACAGAATCTATGATAATTGAGGTACTGTCCAGTTCATGTTGACTTCCTGTAGACAGATCGTTTTACTGACCCATCTTCTCGGCGGGTTATGAGTACATCTAAAAGTGCCAGGCATCCATTATTCTCTTTAACGTATGTTAGCGATATACTGTTTCGTGCTCTGCTGATCTGGTTTAGGATTTCTACGGCGTCTGTCGGTTGATCACAAATGACTATTATGTCATCTACATATCTTTTAGAAAAATAAACTTTTCCAATTTCTTTCTCCACTAGGTTCTCGACATACGTTTATATATATATATATATATATATATATATATATATATATATATATATATGTAACAACAGAAGACAAGGGCCAGGCAACAGATCGTTTTATTATGAAAATCAACACGTATTTATACATATTTCAACTACATTATTATAGACAAGCGCAGTCATCTGATTGGTTGTTTATCAGAAGTTAGGTAGACAAACGCAGGCTTCTGATTGGTTGTTTCGGGATTCCTTGACAAATAGAGTTCTCTATCTGCGAATCATATTTTGCCACGTTAACTTTGCTGTGATTGGTTGTTGACTCAGCCTTGTTCATATTTTCTCACGGCCCATATTAGTGACCTAGACCTTAACGTAGATTAGTGCCAACCAATCGGCTAGCAGCCTGCTCTCACCACACTCGTCCCCCCGTCAAATACGTGCGACTGAAGTCGGCTTGATCTACTTGGTGCAGGCGTCATCGTTGGCTTGTCTCGCTGTATCCATTTCTGGAGCTCGGTGACGTTCACGCGCCTCTCATTGTTTGTCATTGCGATTGTGTCCGCGTAATCCCATCTCGAAGTGACCATATGTGGTCCTTCCCACTTTGGAAACTGTTTGCCTGACCCTGTCGAACATTCGTCAGTATTTCGTCTCACACTTTCATATGCTGCTTTCACCCGACCTCCCAGCAGCGTCCCAAGTAACAGCTCCATCGCTGACAGATCTTGAACGCCACTCAACTGCACAGAAGCCTTGAAGTCCTGCCCGAAGATCCATATGTCTCCATCAAAAACAGCAGGGCATAGGCTTTCCATTTGTCGGTAGGCAGCGACACCAAATGTAACAACAGAAGACAAGGGCCAGGCAACAGATCGTTTTATTATGAAAATCAACACGTATTTATACATATTTCAACTACATTATTATAGACAAGCGCAGTCATCTGATTGGTTGTTTATCAGAAGTTAGGTAGACAAACGCAGGCTTCTGATTGGTTGTTTCGGGATTCCTTGACAAATAGAGTTCTCTATCTGCGAATCATATTTTGCCACGTTAACTTTGCTGTGATTGGTTGTTGACTCAGCCTTGTTCATATTTTCTCACGGCCCATATTAGTGACCTAGACCTTAACGTAGATTAGTGCCAACCAATCGGCTAGCAGCCTGCTCTCACC